TTTCCATCGCTCCTGCCAGAAGTTGACTTAAAGTCACAGCAACAGTCTCGCTTTTGAAAAAATTATGAAATATTTCAAACATACGCGAAAGTACAGCAATCCTTGTCATATAGATTTAATCAGTGTGGACGTTTTGCTATTTTTGCTTCGGATTTTTTTTTTTTAAAGAAATAAAACATGACAGAGCGAGCAGAAGCCCCATGCCATGCTTGGTTCTGTCTCTGCCCAGGGCGCTGGCCCCGGCGGGTGCCCAGGACAAACACACCACCTTCCGCGCGGTCAAGTTCAAATCAGTCCATTTCCTCCATGTTCCTGGTCAGTCCTTTCTCTTCTCCTGGCTGCCTGGAACCTAATGGCCAGGGAGGTCTGGCTAGTTAGCTGAAGCTGCTCAGAAATCAGGCCTTTCCTTCCCTTCCTGAGGACTTTATTCTGCAGAAAGCATGGGCAGCGGCCTTGTGAGTGGCTTCGGTCCTCATCAAATCTGACAGAGGTACTTGCAGAGAACCGTGAAATGTGAAATGCGTACAGGTGATGATGAGAAGGGGATTAAGAGACACCGCTGGAAATGGAAGGTCCAGGTGGGCCCCTGCGCTTGGAGACAACTCACATTTTAGAGATGGGAGAGGAGACAAAGGGCAAAGGAGGCAGGAAGGGGCGCAGGGCATGGGCTCTGGCCCAGATGTCCTCGGGGCCATGCAGCCCCCTCCCTCCACTTGCCCCGCCTCGTCCCTCACATCCTCCGCTGGGGATCCCAGGGGCGCCCAGCGCCCCCAGCGGTGCGTGTGCGGCCTGGAGGCCGGGTGCCACTCACCGTCTTCTTCCTCAGGCCCCTCTGGGGGTGGGCCCTCCTCGCCATCGCGCTCCTTCTCCTCTTCCTGCAAGACAAGGAGAGGGTCAGAGCCTGCACGCGACAGGACGGGGGACTCCGTAACGCTGTCACTCAGGTGTCTGACCCTTGGTAAAAGCGACCTGGCTGCCGGGCACACTCCCGGGAGCCATGTCCCACAGCAGCATGGGGACCAGACGAGAGTGACCGCCTCGGTCAGGCGGGGCAGCAGTGGGCAGACCGTCGGGGAGAGAGGAAAGGGCTGCCGAGGGCTGGCCTGAGCACGCGTAGCCTTTGAGCGTGTGTGGGAAGACCGCGTGGGGGCCAAGGTCAACAGTGGGTGAAAACTATATGATGTCAGTGCAAATATCGTTTGGCCAAGGTGATGAGGGAGACTCTGGGCCGAGGGGCTGTGTCTTCGGTCTTGCACCTCTCTTTTCCAGGTGGGTGCTGGCCAGAGCATTTGGATACCAGGTTGCTAAGTGGACTGGGGACTCCTGCCCCCTCGCTGTACCACCCCCTCCCTGTAGTGAGTAGAACGGAAGACACAAGGGGAAAGCTAGGGGGTCCCCTGGGGCTGGGCATCGCAGGGAAGCTGATTCCCTGTCACAGCCTCCGTCTCTGCTTCCTCTAATGTTTCTATCCCTAACCATTTCAGTGTCCATTTTCCCAAGACTGGAGCTCCACCTCTGTCGGCCTGGTTCTTGCCCACAGACAGACACAATGAACAGACAGCTGGAAGGGACGT